CTGTTCCCATCTGTTCGCTCAAGCACTCTATTTCTTCCCCAATTCGCTTGCTCCTGTGCTCCGTCAGGGACAACAAATCGCATCCCTCAAATGGCTGGATGGGATGGATGCTTTTAAAAGAAACTAAGAACCAATCATGGCCACTGCCACTCTCTACTCCAGTCTTCTCATGGGTTGAAGAAGCCGCTGATGTTGGCAAACAAGGATGCAACACACAACACGGTGATGCCAATGATGTAGGTGTCGGGACTCATGTCGCCAAGCGCGCCCTCACCGCCGCCTCGCGCCTCCATCTGCACGGCCGGTGCGCGCAAAGACTGCTTCAGCGGAGTGCTTCCTGCAGCAGTGGGAGTGGTGCCCACGAAGCAGAGCATCGTCGAGCAGGCCAGGGCCAAGAGCACGCAAGCGAGCACACGCGAGCTGGAGCGAGCCATATCGTAAGCTTTGGAACAAAGAGAGCTGCACAGGAGCGGCCTTCAAAGAGCTCAAGTTCAAGCCAAAAGCATTGCGGGGTGAGACGTACGCTGACAACAATGAATATCCCCAGCAATGAGCAAAACTGATCAAGCCGATCAAGCCCAGCCAAAAACACATTCCCCGGACTACTTTCTTTCCTTGCTTTCGTGGTGAGGTTCTGCTTCTTTTGACCCCACAGAGTCACAGAGGGCAAATGTCCACCATTCACACTTCGGTAACCCCCGCTTTTGCCAACCTGTTTTGCAAGATCCATCTAATATCCATCTATACATCCATACAGCCACCCAATTCGGTCAGGACATCACCGAAACCAGAGAAACCGGTTGCCGGAACCCCGCAACTGTTGGTGTCTACTCCTCGGGTCGCACCCCGGCCTATCCATCGGCGCGCCATCGGTCGACGCTGGAAGCAAACCCGCAGAATTCTAATTACTAGCTTCTTGTTACTACCAGTAAGGCACTTGTTACTACTAGCGATGCACTTGTTACTAAGTGCATAATTCGCCTTTCGTTCAAAAGACTTGAAAGAAAGAAGATTCTGAGATCACTTCCGCCTGTTGCCAAACATGTTTCTTTTCCTTTCAATGACCTAGTGACTAGTTTATAATGCATTGAAGGTAAATGAACAAGCTTCACTTCTTACTCTTCAGACTCTTGCAGTGCCTTTATGTCGGGTTTGGCTCTGGTCACCTGTCCCTTGGGCACTTGTGAGAGCGAGGATCTTCGGTCTCAGTTTGCGTCGCGGGCGTTCAGGTGTGGACGGGGGTTCAAGCCTCTTGCGGATGCTCAAGCTTTCGAAACCAATGCCAAAGTTTTGGGCACTCCAAGACGTGAGGACTTTTATAAAGATTTTGAGTGTCACACATGGAATACAGTCCGCTCTTGTTCGAGGTTCTGTCTTGACCGTCCAAGGCTGTGCTCACAGACGCACAATGACAATCCGAACACGTGGCACACAGTTCCGCACGACCAGTTCCGCACGACTCGCAGCGCAAGGCAGCGGCGCCAGCTTTTTGACGCGAAACGATCTCCCATATCCTGCCATCGTAGCAAGTGGAGCAAAGAAGAATCCCACACAACAACTAGAGTTGGCTTGTCCTGAACTCATTTAACAGCGACCTTTTCCCCTATCTGCTTCAAAGAAGATGAGAACTCTACCATGGTAACTCTGTCAAAATTGGTGTGTTCTTCAAAGCTGAAGGAGCCTGATTTCAAACGGGACTCACTCAAACAAGACACACAAATAGAAGAAACACCTGACATGACAAGGTGTAATGACTCACACTGTGGTTAAGATGGCACAGGCACCTCGAACCCAGCCCGGTGGTACCGGATGGTCTGTCAATTTTAGACACTTTGAGTAGAAAGACATCTGGAACCAACAAACCAAAGAGAACCGCGAAGTGTCCTCAGGCTTTCTCTTGCTCCAGCAATATACAAACCTCAGACACTCTCGGGCGTGAGGCAGGGTGTGTTGATCCCCCCTGTGGTAGTAGGTGCATGGAGGCTAAGTCGCCCCCACTTCAGCTTGAGGAAATTAACATAAATTACTCCAGCGTTGTTCCGCTTTTTCGTCAGAATTGCCAAAGACCAACAAGCAAGACAACAGCTTTCATCAGTTCCCAAAAGCATAAAGTTAGAAAGCATCTTGTTGTGGCGAGGACATCAGGAAAGGATGGGGATGGATACCGCCAGCTTGGGTAGTTTCTGAAAGCCAAAGCTTTTGCCAAAGACATACTGCCAAATGGCCCTGCTTTTGAAGGGATCTGGGTCTTTCTTTGTCTTTCGCTGCCAAACACAATATATACACGGAATAGACTAGAGACCTTAAAAGATAAGGACATCCTGGAAGGATACCATCACTATCGAAGGACGCTAAAGTTTCCCTAAAGATCTACAAACCAAATCATTTGTGCGAGCGCTTCCTTGAAGAAGCGTCTTCTCTATCCGTCCTGTTCCTAGGAGCGAACTGTTGCTAGTAGCGACGTAGCTTACTCCCTTAATTCAATAGGCGCCTACTTCAGAAAATAAGGAAGCTACTAGGAGCAAAGGGCATCGCTACTAGGAGCAATGACCCTACGAACGGGGCTCTTGGCATCGCTACGAACGGAGCATTCTTGCTACTAGTAACAAGAAGCCACTCACCGACTTCTAGTAACAAGAAGCTACTAGGGGCTCCTGGCCTTACTACTAGGAGCAAGGACGCTACACACGGGGCTCCTGGCATCGCTACTAGGAGCAAGGATGCTCCTAGTAGCTTTATTGCTCCTAGTAGTATGGCCAGGAGCCCCTAGTAGCGTTTTTGTTACTACTAGTAAGGCACTTGTTACTAGAAGCGATGCACTTGTTACTAGTAGCGTCCTTGCTCCGTTCGTAGCGATGCCAGGAGCCCCTAACGGCTCGAGTGGCCGAGAGGCATGGCACTCCAGGGCCCGGCACTCACCCACGGAATCTAACTTCTCATGCGTTCGAGCCTGACGAAATGCACGGCAACACACGGCGTCCAGGACACCGGGCCGGGAGACATCAAAAGAACATCAAAAAACATGTGTCAAAAGAAATGATTCGATATGTCCACACAATGTGTTTGGGGGAGGGTCAAAGTACACATCCACAATTCGTTCTTGTTACTTTTTCAAAAGTGATTGAACTTGAGTTCTCTTGGGGAGAAAGAAGAACGATGCAGCGATAGTAGTTGTCCTGTGATTTTGCTCGTTCATTATTTTTTGGTAGTCGCAGTGAATCTAATAGGCGTTTAATGGAGCAGAGCAGTTATATATAGAGCGCGAAGCAATCAGGTTTGCTTGAAATGACCAGAAACATGTTTGGCGGGGCGAGGGGAAGTACTTCTTTGGCGATGGAAGTCATGGAGATGTTATGAGTTGAGACATTTGGCTCTATGAGCGGTTAAGGCATATGAAAGCTAGGATTGTAGGTGGTTCGAAACGATGATACACTTCTAGGGAGACGAACACTGAGCTCTCTCCTGTGCGCGCCTTCAAGTTCACCCTCGCTGGAATCGTGTCACAAATGCGGATGATGTTGTCCTTCATCGCCTGAGTTGCATCGCAGGTGGAATCTCGCGAATCTAGCGATACTGGACAGGAGCAAGAGGGCAACCATGCATTGGGCAAATATTATGCAACAGCTGTTTAGCCGAAGAACTGTGGATAGCGACATGGACATCCTAAAATATGTGTCCCTCCCCGTTTCAAGATCCTTCACATGCCGGCATGGAAAAACAACACGTCTTGTGCAAAGCAGGCTACTGGGAGCAAGAAGCTACTAGGAACAAAGGGCATCGCTACTAGGAGCGATCGGACGCTACGAAAGGGTCTCCTGGCCTTACTACTAGGAGCAAGGACGCTAGCAGGGTGGTCCCTATGTCCTCCCCCCAACCCACCCCCACAACTTCCGCTTTGTTGGCCCTGGTGAGCCACGCTCATTCTCATCACACAGTGGAAGCAACTGCGGAATCCCAGGTAGATGGAAGAAACGAATTGTAACACATGTTCCCAGGTTTGTTGTCGATCTGCGTGTCATACACAGAAAACATCAGAAAAAACATCAGAGAACTCTGGTTCCAACTTCAAACCTCACTCACTGGCACAACCTAGCCATGCACAGCGTTTCTCTAATACCAGGCAGGTAGCTCAGGTAGACAGGTTCAAAGATATTCAAGGTCTGATTTTTTGATGCAGGCCACGTGGTCACACTCAGTCACTAAGTTGGGACATAGTTTCCCACCCAAGTCAATGCCCTTGGATTGATCGAGTCGATATGTGGATCGATGTGGAGATTCGTCGATGTCGATTCACGTCGATTTGTCCTTGGTCGATTCACGTCAAGATTCCACCTTCTTGGCGGCTAAGCGAGGCTTCTCGGCGATGATGGTCACATCCTGGGGCCAAGCAGCCGTGGCGTTTTGGCTTTACGACTCGACATAGGTCAGACGATGTGCAAACCTCCTTCGAGGATGGACACTCCCACAGAAAGCATCCAAGGGGTCAAATGATGCGAAAAGTCCCTTCAGCCTTAGGAGTGTGACATTCGCCCTCTGTTACTTCCCGACAAACGAATCATCATGTCATGCTGCATGTGATGCCCAAACCAATGTCGTGGAGATGAAACATTCTGCTTTAACATTCTGCTTTCAACACTCCCATAGAAGTGGTAGGTCCTTCATCATTCTTGAGTTGGCTGACTTTTGTGACTGCCTACCTTTTGATACCTGCCATCTAGTCATAGCCTACGCAAGATGTATTGAGACGTCAGCTTGCGTACAAGTCAGCCTCTTTTGTTGGTCAACAGTCAAACCCGCCAACTGGGTAACATCTCGCTGTGATCAACTGGGTCGGACCAATGACGACCATCGCTGGCACGACCGTCCAAGCGTCGATGTTTCCAATGCGATAACCTCAGCGGCCAAAAGAAACAATGGCCAGGAGCCCCGTTCGTAGCGTCCGATCGCTCCGTTCGTAGCGATGCCAGGAGCCCCTAGTAGCTTCTTGTTCCTAGTAGTAAGGCCAGGAGCCCCTAGTAGCGTCCTTGCTCCTAGTAGCGATGGCCAGGAGCCCCTAATAGCTTGTTTTCCAGTAGTAAGGCCTGCTTGCCACACCTGAGAGCAACTAGGAGTTTACACCTCCTACCCGTCCACTCATGTGCAACTGAAACACTCGTTGTTGGAACAAAAACTTGAGGTGCTGTGTTTCTTCAATACCATCCAACGGCAATGCTCCCCTAACATGATTTATCCTCCTACTTACCGCTTATGATCAAATCGGGTCAGGAGTCCTTAAAGGAGAGTCTGTGGAAACTTCCGTGTTTGGCAGGGTATGGGGGGACTAGGAAAACGCACCAACCAGTTTCTAGTTTAGACTCTGGGCAATCCTCTTCCAAATTCCATCATGCCTCATGCTGTGCAAGGTCTTGTTCCTCTGCAAAACCCCTCTTCCACGATGTCCGCTTCCAGGTCCACTTCTAACACCTTCTCCCCTTGAAGTGCACTCTCCTTCTGTGCTTTCTCCACTGCGCTGGGGACAGCTCTGCGCGCTCGCAAGCCACGCATGCCAAGGTAGACTGTGGCCATTAGCAGGATGAAGTTAAAGAGAAAAAGGAATGCTAAACTGACTGACCAACCGACATCCATCCTTCGGCTCTCTTGGCAGTCGCGGCGAGATTGGGATTCGCCCGACTGTCGCCCCCCCTGGTCGGCGTCTTGTCCAGGCAAAAATCTGCGGACAGAACATCAGCATGTGACAGATTTGGGGTGGGCATACTACGCACAAACAGCAAACAGGGGCCGGCACGGACCACATGTGTTTGGGGGATGCGAAGCTGCTGCGATTCCAAGGAACCCCGGAGCTTCATCAGCCGCACGGCCTGCAGATTTTTGGTCGAAGCGAGTGATCAAATGGCCGAGGTGCGGAAACCAAAAGGCCGTTGGATTCGTAGGAACAAGAAGCTACTAGGGGCTCCTGGCATCGCTACTAGAAGCAAGGATGCTGCTAGGGGCTCCTGGCCTTACTACTAGGAACAAGGACGCTACTAGAGGCTCACGTGACATCCAATGGCCTTTCTCTCTCTCTAGAGGCGCATGGCCTTTCTCTTTTTTGCGATTGGAAAAGGGTTCACTTGTGTCAGTGGCTGAAGCCATCTACTTGTCTTATTGCTTGGGACACCCACACTTCTTTCTTAGTGGAACATGGTCTTCCAGGGTCTGTTTCTTAGTGGAACATGGTTCTTGTTGCTGTTCGGAAAGTGAAGTCCAACATCCCAGATGCAAGAATTCTCATCCCAGCATGCTTGACAAAAGGAAAGGTCCAAAGATCTACGGACAAACAAAGAAGAAACAGGAAAACAATGAAGGAAGCAAGACCAACCACAAAAAACAAAGAACAGAAAGAGATGATAAAGGAAAACAATAACACAATATAAGACCATCATAAAATGAGCTAAAACGACATGCTGATGGATCACTTCTTCGCCTCGTCGAAGAACTGCTCGGAGTTGGCGCCGCGCCAACGCCTGTCATAAGCTTTCTACAAACAGAGTGTGATGAGGGAACAAACAAACAAACAAAATGGGTATTTGTCGACTGTTTGGGGGGCTCCATAAAATTGTCTTGCTTCCTTGACGGATCTGGCAAATATGGAAAACGCTCTCAGAGGCGTGTGGCTTTCTAGGCTACCCTCAGAGAGTGTAAAGAGGGTTCACTTTCCATCTTTCCAAAAAGCGAATCGACTAAGTGGATGCAACATCCTGCCCAGAGGAATGACTCTGGGTTTGCCGGGGTTTCACTCGGACAAGCCGGTTTCCTGACTCCGTCCATTTACATTTGGCTGACCCATCAACACCCTCCACCAGCCCCACCCCCAATCCGCTTCCAAACGCTACTAGGAGCAAGTGCCTTACTAGTAGTAACAAGGACGCTACTAGTAACGAGTGCCAAACATGGGACTCCGCACGGGTCGTTGTCCGGGAAGAGCTGTCCGATGTCCGGGAGGCCCAACGCGCCTCGGCTCGGTGCAGATCATCGGGCACTTGTTCCTATTAGCTTCTTGTTACTAGTAGTAACAAGTGCCTTACTAGTAGTAACAAAAAGCTATTAGAATTAAAATAAGTAAAACTTAAAATATATTTAAATAATAGCTTCTTGTTACTACTAGCGTGGCACTTGTTACTAGTAGCGTCCTTGTTACTACTAGTAAGGCACTTGTTACTACTAGTAGCGATGCACTTGTTACTAGTAGCTTCTATTTTGCTTTTCTTCTGGGGCACATTTCAGAAGTGCCCTCTGTCGAGATTAAGTGCCGTCAATCCATCTGATTCAATGTGAAGAACCAATGAACCCAAACACCGGAAGCTATTAGAAACAAGTGCCACGCTAGTAGACAGGTGCCTTACTAGTAGTAACTAAGGACAAGAGAAATCTGTCCACTCCGGGCCTAGGATAGCATCAGTGGTCGAGTGGTAGACCACGTCGCCGTCGGAGTGGGCCACCACACCCAGGGGGAAATCCTGACTTGGAGTCAAACGTGTCAGAGTGGAGGGTTGGACCATAAGCAAAACAAACATTGGGAAACGAAGATATGAGCTGCTAGAGGCTTGTGGGATGCACTGGATGTTTGTGAGTGATAGTCAAAACTAGTTGACCCCGGTTCTTGTTGGCTTTTGACTATGTAACTGGCTTGAGTGACCCCAAGCCGCAGCCATCAGCAAAACCAAGCAGACTACCTCCACTGGAGAAAGTTGGGCGGCTCTTTAAAAATCCAAACACATGATCTTGATCTTGTTCACTACTTCTGGTAGCTTGTGGTAGCGAAAAGCGTTCGTGTCGCTCCCTTCATTTCATCCAGAAGTGTCCGACCCCAACGGTCCAAACGGTCCTCAAAGGTGACACCCCCGATGACCGCAGGCTGTGGCGTGATCTTGCCCCAGGCCTGGTATCGTCGAAGTGAGGAACGCCTCCCTGGACCCTGAATAGCTTCTTGTTACTACTAGTAAGGCACTTGTTACTAGAAGCGATGCACTTGTTTCTACTAGCTACTTTGCCAATGAACAGAATCATGAAAATCCTGGAGATGATGCTGGTTTACCACTCCAACCAACATTGGGTATGATCAATGCCTAGTGCAACATTGGGTCCTTGGAGACTCCACAGAAACACCGACATGATCTACAATCCAGTTGGAGATCGTTGGAGAAGCAGGTGTCTATGTAGCATGCGGTTGTGCTAGTCAGGCAGGCAAGTTGTGCCTCAAGGTTTGGCCACTGCGACAAACAAGATCCGCCGATCAAGAGGGAGATTGGTTGTCCATCAGCTAGATTTCATGCAGTTTCGTGCAGCCTCACCTGTCTAAACCACTTAAGCTTAGACAGGAAACAGTTGAACCCACCGACTCCTACAACAAATGCCACCAAGCAAAGGTGTAATTATGTTGAAAGTTCCTTTTTGAACTGCTGAGGGAGTTTGCTCGAGGAAGTCCATGGTCAAACTCTAAGAAACACCATCCCCGACCCGAACCAGCGGGCGCAACATGGGCGCTTTGGCGATGCCTCTGGATCATCTCTGGGCAACATCTTGTGGATGTCGTAGCCGTGACCTGTTCACGTTTGGACATCGTAGTCAAGGCCCGTTTCCTTCGTCTTCCCCCTTGGATGTGTACATGACTCGACCTTGGGCTTTGCAGGTCCAGGTTGTCTATCAATGTTAGGATGGTTTACGGAAAAAAAGACAAACACCCTTGATCGAGCTCCTAAGATCTTCTAGTATTTGACACTCAAGTGATTTGGAATCGCTACAGCAGCTAGCTGGATCCACCTCTTGGGTGAGAAAAACCCTGACGAACGAACCCACCGGCGCTGTTCCAAAACCAGGCGCCCCGAGCCGATGCGCATCGGTGGCTCGGTGGGCTGCTCCACGTCGCTCTGCGCGGAGTTCTGGGTCGAGCCGTCCGGAAAGAAGGCCTCGTCGACGACGAGTTTGACGACGAGTTTGCTCCAAGGAGGGGAGGAGTCACTGGTGAGCTGTTTCTTTGTTTTTTCCCCAGATAGCGAAGCTATGGGGTTCTTACTTCAAATAACAATGAGTTGCTCGTGCGCGCTTTCGAGACAGGTTGCTGGTGCTGGTGCCGGGTGCCGGTGCTGGTGCTGTGAGCTGGCTGTGCACGCTGGTGCTGTGAGCTGGCTGCGCACGTGGTGGAGACAGGTTGCTGGTGTCGGTGCTGGTGCTGGGTGCCGGGTGCTGGTGCTGGTGCTGGGTGCCGGGTGCCGGTGCTGGTGCTGGTGGTGCCGGGTGCCGGTGCTGGTGCTGGTGCTGTGAGCTGGCTGTGCACGTGGTGGAAACAGGTTGCTGGTGCCGGTGCTGGTGCTGGGTGCCGGGTGCCGCTGGTGGTGCCAGGTGCTGGTGCTGTGAGCTGGCTGTGCACGTGGTGGAGACAGGTGCTGGGTGCCGGTGCTGGCGGTGGAGACAGGGTGCCGGTGCTGTGTGCCGGGTGCGTGCTGTGAGCTGGCTGTGCACGTGGTGGAGACGTGGTGCCGGTGCAGCACCCACCCAGGGCGTCGGTGCTGGTGCAGGTGCTGTGAGCTGGCTGTATGCACGCAACATCATACGGTGTCGTTGCTTGAGCGTTCTTTGTCTATTAGCGCTGTGGGGGACCTGTTCAGGTTCTGCTTTGGCCGACAGCTGTGTCAAGGGCTGTACTGTTTGTGCGCATACTTTTGTACGTACAATGTTCTATGCGCAACGTCAAGCTCTCAACCAACCATTGTTTCAGCATGTTTCAGCATGCTACACACACAATAGTCGTGCTGGATATTGCTTGGCCTTGGGCGAGTGAGGCCTACGGGCTTTGCCGTTTGTGCGCATACTTTTGCGCCCGTAAACTTGCGCGCGCAAGATCATACTGGCCTTATCGTTCTACAGATCGTTGCTTCAAGCATGCTACAAAATCAACAGTGGCGCTGGATACTGCTTGGCCTTGCGCAAATGACACTTACGGGCTTTGCTGTTTGCGCGCATAGTTTTGTGCGCATAAACTTTCTCGCGCAAGATCATACGTTGTTATTCCCTGCTGTGCGCGTGGTGGAGACAGGGTGCCAATGCTGGGCGCCGTTGCTGGGTGCTGGGTGTGCGTGGTGGACTGTGAGCTGGCTGTGCGCGTGGTGCAAACAGGGTGCGGGCGCTGGGTGCTGGTGCTGGGTGCTGTCAGCTGGCTGTGCGCATGGTGGAAACAGGGTGCCGGGTGCTTGTGCGCGTGTGGTGCTGTGAGCTGGCGTGCCGGTGCTGGGTGCTGGTAGGGTGCTGCCGGGTTGCTGGTGCTCGTTGTGTGTGTGGTGCAAATTATTGTGCTGGTGCCGGGTGCTGGTGCTGGCGCTGGCTGTGCGCGTAGTGGAGACACGCCACGCTGTATTGCGTGTAAGAATTGGAGCTGCTGCCAATGCAGGGTGCAGCCCAAAAATATCTTTTGCATGCTTTTGCTATCTGGGGTCTATGCTGGAGTAATTCTTTAAATAGAGATGGCCTCCAACCTACTAGCGATGGCCTCCAACCTACATATGTGTTTTTGATTCCTACGACCACAACACTTGAATGAATCATTCTTGTTGTGCTTCATAAATTATGCAATAATCTACAAGAGTCAAGAATGATTATGCAAATGCCGGGTCAAAAGTGCTCTTCCACATAAAACTCCCAAACGGTCCACTTGATGTCACTGCCCAGCCAGCTGAGGGGGGCGTCGTTGGAGAGAAGGCTGGGAAAACATCACCGCAACAAATTCAGAACAAAGTCAAGCAGGTTTGAGGGCTACCACGTACTCCTGCACTACTCCTGCACCCAAGTCATGCCTAGAGTCTAGCAGCAAACGGAAAGCCACCGATCCTTGAAACGGAAGCACTAGGGTGGAGGCCATCGCTAGAATCGTTACTAGGGGTGGAGGCCATCGCCAATAGTATCTCAAAAGAAGATTGTCATTGTTTTCAAAGCTGCTAGGAGCGTCCTTGTTACTATCAGCGACGCCCTTTGTACTAATAGCTATTTGCTACTAGTAGCCATGGCCTCCAACCTACTTGCGATGGCCTCCACCTAATAGCGTCCTTGCTCCTACCCCCTCCCCCACGCGCGCGCGCGAAAAGGTCCTAGTAGATTCCTTTGCTAGTGCATCGCTAGTAGTAACAAGTGCCTTACTGGTAGTAACAATGTTTGCTAGTAATTAGAATTCTAATTCTTATTGTTACTACTAGTAAGGCACTTGTTACTACTAGCGAGGCACTTGTTCCTAGTAGCGAGGCACTTGCTCCTAGCAAGCTCCCGCTCTCCCCCGCCTCGGCGCCACCGTCCCCTACATCGCCGGTGCGCAGCGCATGCCGTCGCACCGCCCGGCGTTGGCCAGCGCGGCCGAGCGAGGCGGCGACAGTGAGGGCCAAGCCTCAAAACGTTGAGAAGGAACGTCAATGAACACACAGTTGCTGTGCTTTCGAAAAATCATAATACAAGCCACATGTTCACTGAATCTCGGTCAAGAAGAAAACAAGAAAAAGAAGAAGAAGAGGTGAACTCATGATCAATCCCTCACCTGCCAAGCGTTCCTGAACTCCCCAAATCCTGCAATACCTCCAACAACCTCAACGCTTTCACGCTCTTAAGCCACAGTGGCTGAAATGGCCCAACCGGCCACAGGAATTCCCCTGCTGGGCCGGAAGCGCACGGGTCAGCTTCTGGCTGCCCAGGCTGCCTGCTTGACGTGCTCGGAGTTGAACAACTGAACACGTCATCGGTGGTCGTGGGTCTTCGGCACACCAGGCGATGAAAATTGTTTCACAACGGGATCTATGACAATATGTGACAAGGGTGTATGGTTTTGCTCCAAGGTAATGTAGTCCCTTGATTAATAAACCCCCCCCCCCTCAACAGCCAAGGCCTCCAAAATAATGTATAAGAAAATCAATCAGTTGATAATTAAATAAGGAATCCTTAGCTAGCTACCTCTGGAGCTACTCTGGCAATATTAAATTAAAAGGAAATAAGAATTCCTAACTTTGAAGACCTCTGGCAATATTAAAATAAAAGGAAATAAGAATTCCTAACTTTGAAGACCTCTGGCAATATTAAATTAAAAGGAAATAAGAATTCCTAACTTTGAAGACATCTGGAATATTAATCGAATCTCAAGCAAATCTCCATCCAAATCTCAATGGAAATCTCCAAATGTTTAATAGAAATCTCCATCCAAAAGCCTCTAAAAGCATCAAATCTCAATGGAAATCTTCAAATTTTCAATAGACATCTCCATCCAAAAGCCTCCAAAAGCATCAAATCTCAATGGAAATCTTCAAATGTTTAATGGAAATCTCCATCAAAAGGCATCCAATCTCAATGGAAATAAGGGATTTTATAAAGAACGTGCGCACTGACTTTTGGAAACTTTTGGAAAGCTTCACAACTAAAGA